GAGCTCGCTGGTTAAACCTGTTGTTTGTTCCTGACATGCAGTCACAGTCTGAGTTACACCAATGTTTTCTCTTCTGTTTCAGTGCTCCCTGTATGGGCTGCCATACTCATCGGTGTTCTTGTTGCTGTTGTTAAAGTGTGAGCTAAAGCTTGCTTTTTGAAGAAAGGTGAGTTACTGATGTACTATATCAACATTCATCATTTGTTGGCAGGAACATCAAACATTCTTCATAACTCCCTCGTGTTAGATCTTAACCTTTGATTTATGCCAAAGAAGATAAAGACTTTCTTTCTATTCACTCAGTGTGTGACCAGTGTAATTGTGTGTTTCTTGAATATTTTCATTTTGTTCCTGCAGGTTAACAAAGAAGAGAATATGGCTGCTCCACAGAGATGCAGAAAAATCTCACCTCCGAACGATCTTAAAAAGTGTGAATTGGTCATATTTGAAACCTGTTTTTGTTTTTTGTCTTTGATTCAGCTGAGAGTTTAATCACAACAGGACATGTTGGCTCTTGTTTTGTTGTGCGACTTTTCTCTGGTTTCTAATGAAAAAACATTTTGACTTAACTCTGTTCGTCTTGGCTCAGGACGCTCGCTCAGAGAGAGGACGTGTCAAGAGTTTTGAGTCAAAGGTTAAAAAATGAAACTTTACTCTCTAACATCACAGAGTACTTCAGCGTCAAACCTGACGATCACCCAAACAGTCACAGTCCAACCTTCACTCTCCGTCACATTCATGGTTTAAAATTACACGACTGTTTCTTCTACCTGCATCTTTCAAACTCCTCACCAAGTTTTAGCTTCACACTGTTCTGTGTTTATATTTCATTATCATTATTGATCATATTTAGATGTCGGACTGTTGTTGTCCTCATATAAGGAAATATGATCTATAATTAATAACGTACTTCCATATTTTCACTTTTAACTTTTTTTTCCTCCGAAGTTAAAAAGTTTGTGTTGTTGAAAATAAAATAGAAAAAATACCATTTTAAAACAGTCACATTTCCATCATTTCAACTTTAATTTGATCATTTACTGATCATCTCAGTGTTTCCTCTCCTGCTGCAGTTTAATGGCTCCTCCTGACTCCTTTCCCATTTTCATTGTGCAGCTTTATAAATAATTCACTGAACAAAGTTTCTCTGAGGTTCATGTTTTTCATGAGGACAGTGATGGTTTGTTTTTGATCGTAACAGATTAAAATAATTGGAACCCCTTTGAAGACGTTACAGTTTATTATCTGGATCAGTAAAAAGAAAAATAATGAGCCAAGCAAATTTAAAAATGGCCCAAAGCAAAACCTTAACTCTAAATTTAGGACTTAAAGTTTCACGTTTCTATTATGTTTCATATTCAGTCGAAAGTTTGTCATGCAAATGATGAAGAAACTTTTCAGCTCATATTTAACTCAGTCTAGTTAAACATGTGCACTCGTGTTTTACTGCAAATGAATATTTAGCAGATAGAAAAATTATGATTTTCATTTTTAGAATATTTTTACTTACTCTTAAACTCTAATATCATATGTTGCTTTTGGTTCAGTTGATTTTTTTTTTCCAGATTATATTTTTGCTGTCAACTGTTGATGTACTTTTTTATGTTCATGCCATTTGACAGAAAGCTTAAGAGTGCACAAGCCTGAATAAAAAACTTTTGCGACTGTGTGTGTGTGCGCGCGCGTGTATATGCGTCGCTAAATGTTAATAAAGTGAGAAGATGTTTTACTGTTCTAGTCAAATTCCAGAAGAATTCTTATTTTGCAGCAGCTGTGCTTTGATAAAACACATTTAGCTACAGATTGAATGTCGGTGCAAAGCTAAAGTGTTGCTCAGTATTAGCAGGAAGCTGTTGCACTTCAGTGTTTTTATCCTGAGCTGGCCG